CCGGTGAGCTCTCGCCGTGCGCGGAGCCGCGCCGGGCTCGAGCGAGCCGCACAGGCCGGGCCTCTGCTCCTTGTCCCCGGTTTCCTCTCGGGGGCCCGCATGGCACCGCGCGAGCCAGGGTCGCGATGCGCCCCCCCGCCGGGAATGAGAGCCCGTCTCCAGGCGGCTGCTGAGAGTCACCCAGGAGATGAAGGCTGGGGCACGGAAATACTGTTAAAGGTCGTTTTTTAGAGTAGTCCCAGGGGGTGGTTTTGGTGTGGGGTTTTTACATGCAGTCCTAATGTGCATCGCATGTCATGAGATGAAACCTCCTGGAAGAGATGCAGACGCAGTTGGCAACCCAACCGCTGCCCTGGCCGTGCCCTTGGCAGGGAGCGGGGCCGGCCGGATGCGAGTCTAGGCCCGTGAGGCAGGAGCTGTCTGGGGAGGGGGCGGTTGTTTCTGCATCTGCCAGCGCAAGGAGACAGTGTGTTAGAATAATACCCATACAAGAAAATATAATATACAAGGAATAATACCAATGCAAGGAAATAGTAGGTTGAAATAATACCAATGCAAGGAAATAGTACGCTGGAATAATTCCAGTATCAGGAAATACAGTATACAAGGAATAATACCAACACAAGTAAATAGTACATTGCCAGTGCCCGGGCAGAGGTTGTCACTGCGCTGACCCTCTCTTAATCCAATGATCTTTACAGAAACATTATCCTAAACAACCCCAAGAAGAGAAACACGCTCTCACTCACTACGCTCAGGTCTCTCCGGGACGACATCCTGCGCGAAGCCGATAGCACGGATCTCAGAGTCATCATCATTTCAGGTAGTTCCTTGATCACCAGGGAAAAAATAAGAAGCGGGATGAGTTGCTGTGTTTACACAGCTATCTAAGTGCTGGGTCCTTCAGTGTTGCAGCACTGAGTGCTCACGTTGATAATAAACAGCGAAGATGTAATCCGTAGTGACTAGAGGCCCACTGCAACAAAACATATGCTTCTTTTTAAGCATCTTTTTAAGACCATCTCTCTCCAGCCAAGCCACTGAGGTCGTTCTTAAGTGCTTTGCTGAACACAGTGAGTTTAAGGCTTCAGAAAGTGCTTTGTGTCAAGCAAAGATTTACAGGCCAGGCAGGAATCTGGAGGTCAGGTCTGTTCCTAGCCCCTTCATGACTGGCATGGTATTGGATAAGTTGCATGTGGCCAGGTTTTAAGAAACTTTGGGAAACCCACTGTGTGTTAGATACCTAAACACTTCTGAAAATCCCACCTGAATACCTTTTAAGTGGCTAAATACTTGTATGAATCACACAAGGGTACAGGCCCAACTGCTACTTAGGGTACCTAAATCCAAAACTGAAGCCCTAAAACTTCCTGTTCCCCTAACCCTGTAGGTGTCTAAACCCCTAGGCACACAAGTGTTTTATCAGCAAAGTCCCACGTAGACCTAAATTCCTGCCGTTCAACATGTGCGCAACCACTGAAGTCCTGATGCTGCTGAGCAGGGTGCCTAAGTCTGAGACGCTCACCCATATTGCCTATGGGACCTAATGCAGATTGCATTTTCTAGCCCCACATACTAAACCAGGCCCTTCACAGTACTCTGAGGAGGAGGTCCCCTCAGAGCCTATGTTCAAGTTGTTAGGGGAGATCTGGATTCAGATCCTTCCTCTGTGAAATGCATTGCTGAAGACATCCTGGGTGCAGCAGTACTTGAGGCCTCCAGTGTCCAAGAGAGGAGCTCTTGGGAACAACCCTGGGACAGCCTCACCAGCCTGTTTCTGGATTTGGCACATATGTCAATATAGCAGGTGAGCAGGACATGCTGGACAGTATCCCTGGAGAAAGCATGTACAGCCCTGTGGAGCTGAAACTACCCCCAAACGCATTCTAGTAATTCTTTTTATCATCATCTCAGTACTGCATGGCCTCAGCACTGGCCAGGTGCCCATCATTGGGTGTGGATTTCTACTAGGCACTGAGAGGGCCGGGAAATGGTGTGGATGGTTTTTGACACACAGGTGAGAGCTTTAGAGCTGCAGGAAGAGTCACTCAGAACAACCCTCCTGGTTCCCACAGGGAGGAGAGAACCTTTTCCATTGCTCTCCTGAACAACTTGGCAGCAGCATCTCACTGTTTATTTGGCATAAATGAAACATTAACCATGAGTGCAGAGCCGTGGGCACATACAAGGTCTGTACAATAGTTATTCACCCTGCAGTTTACATTTCAATGAACAATTTTGTAGCATTTTCTGAGAAGTTAGGCAGAGTCCTTTAAATCCCCATCATTTCCAATTGACTAGAGTAGGAAACTTTGCCAAACACAGAGACCAAATACTTACCGCCCACAGACAAGCCAACATGGGGCATTTATATGGGGAGCCAATTCTTTCATTTGCCTCCCTGATCCTAGCACACCTGACTCAGGAGCTGCATATATGGTTCACTGCCTTTTCTCCCAGCTGCAGACAATGTACAACAGAGAGCATGAACTCCCATCTGGGTATCTCCTAGGAGACCCAAGTGTGGAAACTGCTAGGGAGCCCTGCATACGCAGTCAACGTGTGACCGGTTGTGATGGGCACCAATGTGACACAGACACCTTGCATCTTGAACTATACTGTAGCATTGAAATTGCCACATTTCAACCCACGGGTGCATTTGAGCAGCAGCTTAAGAGATCCAGTTGTCAAGTTTGTGCCTCAATCTAAGTTTATAAAAATCCTTGTGAAACTTTGAAATGTACATTTTAAATCATGACCATGGTGACAGTGATGTTTGGCATCTGCTCATTGCCATTTGTGATGACAGTTGGAAACGATGAAAGATCCCTGGTTGCATGTCACAGGCTACTGAAAATGAAAGTCCCAAAAGTGAAAGTTCAAGGACTTTGTCCACCGATGCTTCCCTAAAATGCTGTTAAATCAGTGGTGTTTGCGTGTTTAGATACTGTACATCCTTCTAGATAGTCAGCTAAATTGATCTGAAAACACCGAGAACCAAGGTGTCATAAAGTTTCTCGCAAAATTTCCCCTCCATTAACTGTCATCTGTTCTTGTGCATTTAGGACTTGGTACATTTTAAATTGTTACCAGCCGTGGATGCTAAAATCCTTCCAGCTGACACTGTATCAAATGTTTTTCTTCATTTCTTTTAATCCTTCACAGCAGAAGGACCTGTGTTTTCATCTGGCCATGATCTTAAGGAACTGTTGAGCAAACAAGACTCAAAGCACCATGCTGAAGTATTTGAGACCTGCGCTGAGGTGAGTCAGGCTGCCTAGTCTGTGGTAATGTCACCAAAGAGGTATTGGCACGTCACTGAACACCCTGTTCACATGATGAGTTTAACAGAGCAATGAAACTGCAGGCATAGGGAGATGGTAGTGAGATGATGGTGATTACTTTGATTCTGTCCATAGTTTACTGATGGATCCTGGAGTTATATTCCTCTGCATTTTCCCCAAGTGTTGGGTCAGGCCTGCCCAGGACAAGGCTGGAGCCTATAACAGGCCAGTGTCCTAAAGTGTATGAGCATTGTGCTTCCATACCTTGCACTGTTGGCAGTGAATTTTTGTGCCCTCCATGCCTGGTTCTTGCACCTTGAGCACAAGGCACTGCTCCATGTTTGTAAAATGGGGATAATACAGTGAACCTACCTTGCATCAGTTGGGATTGGTTTGGCTAGGCCCCAGTGCTTAGATGGGTAACCTGAACCAGTAGGAACCAGCTATAGTATGGATTGGTAGTCTATGGCCCATACAGCCTTTTGATCTATCCCATGGACATGGAGCCTTGGTGGCAGGGTGGGCACTTGAGCAGCAATAGCTTTCCCCATGTGCAGGGACAATCAGCAGGTGCAGGGAAAAGCAGCAGTGGCAGACATTTTCCCCCAGGCTGGAAGCAGGGAAAAGTGGCAGAGGCTGGATCCTTCTATCTGCTCACTGTCCATCTGCCTCTGACTCAAACTGGGTCAGACCAGTCCACAGCCTTAAAAGGTTGCTGACCGCTGAGCTAGAGTATGTGACTATAGCACTCTGGGCATACTGGAGATGCGGACTGGCTGTAAGGGGGTGGTTATTCTTGTTGCTAAAGCATAGGACTGGAAGTCAGGGAGACTGAGACAATATCCTCATTGAAAACTAAGGTAAAACTCCCATTGCATTAAGCCAAGATTTCACCCGTTTCAGGCTCTGCCACGACCTGCCATGTTTATGTGGCTAGTTGGTCAGAGATGTGTGTGTCCAGGGGAGATGCTACATACCTATCGTACATGGGAGTCCTCTGGCTTACTTCATTCGTGTGTGTGTGGGCACTTTTTTTAAAGGAATCTGTCATATGAGGATATCATGCTGGATATCATTTTTCATATGAGGATATCACATATACATACAGGATTTCCCAGTATATACCTATACAGAGTTTGCCTGTTCTTTTTATTTTACTGCTAAATTTGTAGTGGGGGGTGAATTTAAGGGAGCCTTTTGCTCTTTTCCATTGAAGAGAGTCATCACTCATTCATTCAGCATGTGCCTAACTGTCTTTGACCAGTGTCCTGCCATGCTGTCAGCAGGCAACTGATCTAACAGACACCGGTTCACAGAACAGGGCAGATCCAGCTAAAGAAATAAAAAATCTTCTTCTTTCTGCCACATGAAGTGGAATCAAGAGTCATAAGTTGTTTTTCAGCACTGAAGGAAATTAAGCTGTCCCACGTGTCCAACCAGTGCAGGATTTCACTTACTAGTGGCTCCAGCTGTAATCAGCAGGCAGATTGGAAGAATGGCTCAGCTCTTTCATTCTTTGAGGCTCTTGATATAGGAAGTTAGGCTTTCATTTAGTAAACAAATCGGCAGGGAGGATTAGTAGGCAACTCAGGGTGCATAAAAGTTAAGCATGTGCCTGAATCATCCACAGGAATGGGGAGTTAAAGTAAAACAAATTAAGTGATTTAGCCCTAGGTGGAAACAACAAGTGATGCCGCAGGCTTCAAAAGGTTCAGGCAGAAATGAAAGGCAAGGGACCAAAGTAAATATGACTTTGAGGATGACAATGATATTATCTTGAACATCTGTAGCCCCTTTTATCTGAGCATACTGAAGAGCCTGTACATCAGAACTCGTATCACCCCTAGCTAGGGATATGAATGGTAAATACGTTAGCTTGATTTTATGCACCAGAAACAGAGAAGTGACTTGATCAGGATAGTGTGGCCTGCTGAAGAAAGCACTAAACCGGGATTCAGGAGGTCTGGTTTTCCAGCTTCTGCCTCTGGCCTTCTCAGCAAACTTGGACAAGTCACTTCACCTAGCCATGCCTCACTTTCCTCAGCCACAAGACAGATATAATGATAATGACCTCCCTTGTAAAGTACTTCTGATGAAAAGTGCTACATAAGAACTAGGTGTTATCTTACCAAAAGTTTGAGACAGCTGGGAAAAGAAACCTTACCCCTTGAGGAGTTTTAAAAACAAAATACAGCAAAGTAGGGTTTTTATAGTTTTGTTTTCTTAAAAAGGGTAGTTTTATTTTATAAACCACAAAGAACATACCTGTGTATGTACTAGCTGGTTCCTTTTCTGGTTCCATTTCTTTGGATGTGCTGAACATTAGATGTTAAACAGGGACACGAGCACTGAGGCAGGTGCAGAGCTAACACAACGTTGTTTTGTGAGATGTTACCTAAAGAGCATAAAATATGATTAGAGCAGTAGTTCTCAACCTTTTCAGACTCAAGGCTTTGCTCACTAGGGTCAGGGCACTCCTCTCAGCTCTCACTCTTTTGTTGACTATGGAAAAATAAGAGAGCAATTTTTCAGTGGCAGAGAGCTCAGAAGTACCATGCTAGATCAAAATGTTTCTGGGACTCTGGATTTCCATTTGAAATATTTGAGTTTCTTGCGAATCCTGTGTAGGAGTTTGCACATCTAGCAGTGCCAATATTGCGCAGCACCTCGGAGCACTCTTAAAATGATCTCACAGCTTCCGAGGTGCCGTGGCAGCCTGGATGAGAGTCACTGGATTAGACAGAAATGATTCCCTTGATTAAAGGAGAGATTGAAGGAACCAGAGTGTATCACCCTGTCACAAAGTCTCAATACGAGGACATCAAGGCAGTGATGACACTTACCAGTTCAGCAGCATTCTCTACCCATCAGAGGCATAAAGTTGAGCAGCTTGCCCAAGGTGAGCCAGCAGGCAGCTACCCCTAGAAATCTTGTGATGCTCAGCCCTGTATTAAACTTTGAGACAGGCCTTTATTGGATATTGATCCAGCTCCCGGCCCAGAAGAATCCTGATCGTGGCTGGAGCTGCAGGCAGCTAGCATGGGACAAGTCATAACTGGTGAATACAACAGATCTTATCTGTGTGACTGTGAATACAGAAAATGGGGGCACAAAGCATCTAAACCTCAGTGACCAGACAACCACTTTTTCTTTCACATGTAGGTCATGACTCTGCTCCAAAAACTGCCAGTGCCTGTGATAGCCCAGGTGAATGGCTTGGCCACAGCAGCAGGCTGCCAGCTGGTGGCAAGCTGCGACATAGCAGTGGCAAGTGAGAAATCCAGATTTGCCACTCCTGGAGTGAACATTGGCCTGTTCTGCTCTAGCCCAGCTGTGGCTGTGGGGAGGTCTCTTCCAAGAAAGGTAGGCACGGTTCCGGGAAGGACTGTTCTTTACAGCTTGTGGGCCCCTGGCTTAGGTGCCACAGCTGGGATTGAATGAACTGCCTTCCCTAGTGCTGTGTAGTTCAAAACCTTCCACTGCTGAATTCAGCTTGTCAAAGAAAAGCCTCTTTGGACAAGGGGAGTCTGGTCAAGAATCGTAAAAATGACCTATCATCCAGGAAAGCAGTCCTCAGCCCCTGATCGCAAGCCATGGGAATTCACAGCAGCACCAAGCCGCCACAGTGTTACATCTTCCCTAGCAGCAAATGTCTTTTCTTATGCAATGAGGCTTCCTCCCCGATAGAAGGCCCCTGCAAACACCAGATGCTGGTCCTGCTAAAGTATCAATCCCTGCCAAGCAGTGACATTTCATTGCCAGCACTGTCTGCTGAGGTTCAGATCTAGTTAGATAGATCTATAGAACCTTCTCCTGCTGCCCAACTATGTTTCCTACTGATTATGCCTACAGGCATCCCTCACTGCATCAGTAATACAGTGCATTCTGCAAGGCTCGGTGCAAGACATCCTCATCCTCCAACTGGATCTGGGCTAGGCCTCGAGCCCCTGAAAGACCTTTCTTTCCCTGTGTAGTAGGCTACACCTCCAAGAGCAGGTGGGCTGCACCTGGCTGCCTGCTCTGGCTCCCTTATCTGGCTCCTTTCTCTCCTGCCTGCCACATCTTGGTGTTATAATTGAGATGTTATTTCAGGAGGCTGCCTTTAGGTAACCAAAGTCTAGGCCATAGGTGTTTGGCTTCCCCCAGCCACGGGCCTGACTGGGCAGTGCAGGAATCTGCCCTTCTCCCTTTCCATCTGGATGGGGGTTCAGCCCCTGTTGGGCTCTGGCCTGACTTAATTTAGTTAGGGGCCTGGCCTTTCTGAGCTCTGACCTTGCCCCAGGCCTGCTGCCCAAAAAGTGGTCTTTGCCTGCCTCCTGCTCCAAAACCAACAAAAGACATAGAAAAGCAGAAAACAGCAAAACAAGGAAAACTGCAGGGTGCTGGGTACTCTGTTCTGCAGCCTCTGTGCTTCCCCCATCCACTGAGTGTTACTACCGAAATGAGCAGAGAAAACAAAAAAAAGCAGACCCGTATCAGGCTCTGATAAACAGGCCTTGGTCCTCAGGGTACTCCCACTGCCTCAAGCCCTTTCTGGGCCAACACAAATAGTCCTCAGTCTTCTTGGGTGCATTCAGTCCCTCAGGGCTCCTTCAGGGTCCGCTCTCCATATGCAGCCCTCCCCAGGGTCCTCCCAAGGGACCAAAAACAAGTCCTTAGTACTTACTGCGTATTCGTTCCCTCACTCCGCCAACAGATTGCTCCTCTTTGCAGCAGCTCTTCTGGCCAGACTTATGTTCCTCCCTTGTCTCCTTGAAATGCTCCATCCCCCTTTGTCACTGGGGCCAGCCTCCCTCCTCTGACCTGAAGACCATTTATATCCCAGACTGCTCCCACCTATGGCAAGACAGTTGCTCCCTCCTGTCCAGCTGAGTGCTTCCCTTGGTAGCAGAGATGTCCACTCTGACTGTCTTGGCACGGTCTTTCCTTGCAGCAGGTAATCCTCCACTCCTCTGGACTACAAAGGTGCTGGCCCTAACGTGGCCCTGCTGACTTTTCCTTGGCCTCTGTTACACCAGGCCAAGGCACTCCAATGCAGATCCAGTTGCAGAAGGGCCTGAACCCAAATTTCCTGTCTTTGATGCCACTATCCAGACACCTTTCTAAAAGTGTGTCTCTAGTTTGATATTACGCATGCCCCTGGACCACCCATCTAGTAGTTCTAGTTTTACAGTTCCATTTGCATCCGTTGTATTTTGCAATATGCCAACCAATACCCCTGTGTTATTACATGTATTACACAATTAGCTGGTTAATCATGCAATAAATTTAGACCAGCCACATGTGCAAAGTAATTATCACACAATAAAAATGATTCTCCAGCTGAAAGAGAAGCAACCAGCTATAATGTTAGTGCTTGAAAATGTGTAACAACTCTATAGCTGGTTTTTATCCAGCTTTCCTTTGAACATGTAGCAGGGCCCTCAGAGTGGCCAGAGCCATCCTTGCAACTCTTAGGACTTACAATTTACCTCTCATCAAATGAAACATGGCTGAGATGTTTGTACTGGTAGCTGCTGAAGAAAAGATGGTAATCAGAGCCATCAGCCGTCATAGTTTGGGGCAGCACCACAAAATCAGTCACATACCTTACGGGGGGTTTTTCCCCATGCATTTGGAACCGCAGGTCTAGGTCACAGCAGACATGGCGATCTGGGAATAGATGTACCAGTGGTCTGAAGTGAGAGATCAGGAGTCGGTATTTCAAAACCTATCCAGAGATTTGGCCATTTTTGTGCCCAAGTTACAACATCAAGTTGTGCCTCCTCTTCAAAAAAAAAGCCAAGCACCCACATTACGTATGGACTCCTGTGGGAATTGCTAGGTTTCAGGACTTCAGAAAAATCAGGCCCAGGGGTCTCAATTTGGACACCTGAAATCAGTGGCTTGTTTTTAAAAACTGTTGTTTTTGTACCCAACCCTGCTTCCACAAGCACCCTGGAGATTTTTGCTAATGACCTTATAAGGAACAACATGGGGCTTCTATGCCCCAAGGCAGTGAGCTATACTAGAGGAGCATTACTTGCCTTACAGACTAAATCAGTAAGGTAACTGAGTAGCCTTATGTGATCTCTTTTTGTCCAGGTTGCTCTGGAGATGCTGTTCACTGGTGAGCCTATTTCTGCCCAAGAAGCACTGCTGCATGGCCTTCTCAGCCGGGTGGTACCTGAAGACAAGCTGGAAGAGGAGACCATGAAAATTGCACGCAAGATATGTGAAACCAGCAGGTCTGTTGTGGCCTTGGGGAAAGCCACCTTTTACAAACAGATGGCACAGGACCTTGAAGCTGCCTACAGAATGACCTCCCAGGTCATGGTGGACAATCTGGCCCTAAAGGATGGGCAGGAAGGTATAGAGGCCTTTATTCAGAAACGCAAGCCTGTCTGGTCACATACGGTGGATAGAGCTTACAAATGAGTTCATGGGAAATTAATCCCATTTCTAAGTAGAGTTTGTGGTATGATTCCCCATACCAATGCCTTTTCTGTCAAAGCTATAGGTACTGTTGAAATTACTTGTAAATTTCTCAATTAAATGCACCAGAACCAATATGACAAAGTTTCTAAGGACACACGAAAGTTAAAGGAATCAAATCGCACGAGCCTTTCAGAACTGACACTTGCGCTGGCCGTTGCTAAAGGGCTCGGCTCTGCTGGCGTTATGAAACAATCAATGTGACAGACTCGTGGTTACATGGGACTCGACAGAACCTGCAAGAAGACAGCTCAGATTGTTCTGTCCCATCCTTTGCCCCTTGAACTAAATGAAAAACTTCACCAGTTATTATTAGCAGAGAGTCTGTATCCAAGGTACAAAGGTTCATATTCATCCTGGAAAGGCCAGTTGTATCTACAGACCCTATAGGTTCTTAGAGCATTAAGACTGTCCAGTAAGGATTTAAACAAAAGCCTTCTAGAGCCATTTCTTTTTAATAAAATACAAGGTATGTGCCATACTAGTCATGAGCCCATTTCCTTCAGGCAGTGCAAGATCCTTCCATTCAGTTCATCTTCTAGTACCTTATTTACTCTGATTTCAAAGACATAAAGTTTGCATCAGATGAGTCCCTAAAATAGAGGCTGGTCCAGAAATCTATTATGTGTACAGCTGCCTTTGAAACGAATGACTGGCTCCTCCACAAAACCATAATCTTAATCCTACTGAAGTAAGGGAAAATTTTGCCATTTACTCCCGTGAGACAAGGACATTGCTTAGGGAAGAAACTCAGCAGTTGTTAGCTGGCATCATTCCACGGAGTTATCCAGTCCTCTGCTATTCAGAGCTAACCATGACTCACAACAGCTCAACTGTTTGTGGTTTAGCACAGAGAACACATCTCAGCAAAGATACTTTCCCCAGGTTTTACATAATCAATGCAACTACCAAAACCACATGCAGGATTCACCAAAGAATCCAAGTGGTTTTTAATCCACTTGCTTCCCATGACAGTCTAAGATCCAGTCAGTTAGACTGGCATGTTAGTGATGCCCAACCAGCATGAGTAATCTCCCTATTAGGGGTACTGATGTGTTCTGAAAAAAAAATGACTAGTTCCTGTACCATTGGGGTCAAAGTCTGTTGTCCCCTTTTCTGGGATAAACTTATACAGCCCTGGCTGGCATTCAGCTACCAACCTATACATCTTTAGTTCAGATTATTAATATCAACAGCACCATTTATAGACTGCCTGGAAGCTGTTCTCCCTTCTGTCTTCAGTGAACACTCAGTATTCAAGAAAGGAGTCAATATATTTTTAACTGTCTCAGTAGTTGGAATAAACATTTGGGAACCTTCAGTCAGAACATAATTGTATGCACAAATTGCTTTATTTACTCTCAGAATGCCAAAGAAATCTGAATGGTTGGCAATTATGTTTTTGTTTTAAAAGTATTGGATTTTCTATTTTAATTGCCGATAAAGAGTTATGTAAGACCCTTTAGATGGATAGATGGAGGGAAAGGATTAAATTTAGAGCCAATCAACCTTGACAGAGTCTTTCTTACTACTACATTACTACTTAGTTCATCTTTCCACATACTCATCTGAAAGCATTTAGGAGGACATACGTTGGGTTTTTTTTAAATTATATTTAATGGAGCTCATTCAGCTACTCAGCAAATTCCTACTGCCTCTTTTGTTCCATGCTTTTAAGACTAAATATAAATCTGATTTTGGCTGAATAGTGCTCTTTTTAACTGGCTGGGGTGATCTAATGGCTCTGTTAGCTCATCCTAGAGGGCTTTTATATATTTATCCTCTCTGTTTGTGTAGATGTATACTATTATGTATAGAAACATGTATCGGTATGTTAGTTAGAAATTGTCCTGTTCTACTTAATAAGGAGCTTCACACCTGCTTTTTAGATGTATCCATTAATAAAGCCTTGAGTTTGTTTTTTTTAAAGAAAATTCTGTTTAAATAATTAGAGGTGCAAAGGGGCTTTACTAAATTGGAGTTAGGACCATAGGTTCATAGATGTAGGGTTGGAAGGGACCTTAGCAGATCATCAAGTCTGTCCCCCTGCCGTGGCAGGAATGAATACTGGGCCCATTTGGCCCCAGCTAGGTAATTGTCAAGCCTCTTTTTAAAGCCCCTAAGGTAGGAGGCAGCACCACTTCCCTTGGAAGCCGGTTCCAGATCCTGACTGTGAAGTAGTGCCTCCTAATGTCCAGCCTGAACCTACTCTCAATCAACTTGTGGCCGTTATTCCTTGTTACTCCGGGAGGTGCTCGGGGGAACAGGGTCTCGCCCATTCCCCTCTGGTCTCCCCTGGTAAGTTTATAGACGGCCACTAGATCCCCCCTCAGCCTTCTCTTGTGGAGGCTGAACAGGTTCAGGTCCCGCAACCTTTCCTCATAGGACCTACCCTTCTGTCCCTTGATCATACGAGTGGCCCTCCTCTGGACCCTCTCCACGCTGTCCACATCCCTCCTGAAGTGCGGCGCTCAGAACTGAACGCAGTACTCCAGCTGCGGCCTGACCAGTGTCGCATAGAGGGGAAGGATCACCTCCTTGGACCTGCTCGAGATGCATCTGTGGATGCATGACAAGGTGCAGTTGGCCTTCGTGACTGCATCCCCACACTGGCGGCCCATGTTCATCTTGGAATCAATAATGACTCCAAGATCCTTTTCTGCCTCTGCACTGCCGAGAAGGGATTTCCCCAGCCTGTAGGTATGCTGCTGGTTCTTTCTGCCCAAATGCAGTACCTTGCACTTGTCAGTATTAAATCCCATCCTATTCACATTCACCCACCCCTGTAACCTGTCCGGGTCCAGTTGTATCCTGTCCCTCCCTTCTAGGATGCCCACCTCACTCCAAATCTTGGTTCGTCAGTGAATTTGAACAGGGTACTTTTCACCCCCTCGACCAAGTCGCTAATAAAGAAATTGAACAGTGCGTGCCCGAGGACCGAGCCCTGGGGGACTCCACTGCGCGCATCCCTGCAGGTCGAATGTGACCCATCCACCACCACTCTCTGGATGCGGCCCCCTAACCAATTTATGACCCATCTGACTGTAGGTGTCGACACCACAGTCACTTAGCTTTTTAATGAGTATGGGGTGGGAGACAGTGTCAAAG